AACCATTCTGTGATTCTATGTAAAGGCAAGTGGCACCTAAATGACATACTGCTTTCTGAAGCTGAAGTCATTAAGGCGTTAGTGGTTGTGCCATGGTCATTATGTTTCCACTTGTTTTTGCCTTTAAAGATCTTAGGATGGTCAGGATTGTAATCAGAAAGACTGCTTCTCCTAGAGCACAGCTCTATGTTACAAACTCTAATAACCAACGGTTAGCTTTTAAATGACTGAATTGCTAAGTAACCACCCTAAGAGACCGGTATCTCCTTGTTAAGTTATTGGACAATGTGGTTTCATTTTTTATTTTTTTTATTTTTTTTTGTTCTTAATTTTTGTTTGTTGTTGCTGGTTTTTTGTTTGTTTTTAATACAATTAAGGATGTACCCCACAAGAAAAAGCAGAAAGAGTCCTTATGGAAAAAAACAAATATATTGAACACATACCAATCAAATGGTACAGATATGGGACTGGCTTTGATTTCAAAATTTAAGTAGAAATAAAAAAAGATGTAATGCAACAGCTGTTCAATTTCCAAGTCTAAATAGGCACTGTAAAAAGACATTTCCGCTTTCTCCAGCACACATTCCTGTCTAAATGCTCCCACTGTAATCAACTCCTAGGTTCCCAAACAAAAAAAAAAAAGAATCCCTGGGAACATAACCTTAGAGTAAAAGTTAATATCCATCCACCCACCCTCTTACAAAAAAGCAAACAAAAAAATTCCCCCCAAATACAACCTTTCAATGCTGCTGTTTTGACCGGAGCAGAATTGGAGAATTTATAAAGGTTCAAAAGCACCCAAGGCAAGTAGTACAATATAGTTTGTTCACTAACTTGTATTGGAAAGGAGATTAAAAACATTGAGCTCTGCATCTTGGTACATAAAACTGTTGTCCTGAATAAAGAGAAATCTTTCAGAAAAGTTTTACAACTTGGTGGAAGTCCAGGACCCAGCTTTAGGCATCATTAATTGATGGGGTTTAATTCTGACTTGGTTATAACCACTTTTTATATACTGTACATCTACCCTAGTTGGATCAGTGTCTGGAACTGCTCACTGGTGTCCCTTTGAACAACTGTAAACTAAACCATAGTATGCAACTCCATAGGAAGCTAGAGATCAGGTGAATATACAGCCAGTTATATCTCCCCTGCTTCACGCTCTTCTGAGCTCTTCCGATCGGCCATTAGCACTTTCATAAGAACGTTTCTTGTCTTTGAAATCCCGCGGTGACCTCTCTCTTGAGCTTCTATCTTTATCACGCGATGTTCTGTCACGATCTCTTGAACGCTCTTTGTCTCTGGAAGATCTTTCTTTTGAGGATCTGAAAAGTGCCGTAAATTTGAGAATTCAAGTTAGCCACGAATCTGTAGCTATCAAACAGCATTTTGATTTTATGTTTTTCTTCTTTTTCCAACTCAACTTTCGATTGATATAAACAGAAGTGTAGGAGAAGACATCAGAAATCATTCTACTCTTCTCTCTTTCCTACTTCCCATTTCAAAAGACAAACATTGTTAGAGGCAGAATTTAATCTGCATTTATTAGAGAGCCCAGATTAAGGTCACTGTGCTTCACTGAATCTCTTATTTCCAACCTCCGCCCTCAAGCTTGCACTAACAGAAGTTTAATTGAAATTTCTCATCTGTAGTCTCTAGCTTGAGAAGCGTATCTAGCCTCTCTCAGATATATAAATTACAAACTTAAAAAACATGTTTAAAAATGGGAGTTTGATTAAAAGCAGTGAGAAATCAACTTGCACAATTCTGGAATGAGGCTATTGCACGACAAATATCAAACACATCCGTAATCTGTGCTACAATTAGGTTTTGTTAGAAGAATTATCCCTTGTGTGATTTTGCAGTGTTGGGGTGGTGTCATTTTTAGGTATTTTACTCTGATAACAGGCTTTTCCAAAACATTTGCAATGGAGCCAGAAAAGAGCTGTTCTGTTAAACAATCCATGTAGTTTTAAATTAAATGAGCTACCTGTACTGGAAAAAAACCAGATTAGACATCCTCCTCTATATTCCCTCATCGAATACACCTAAGCCTGTTGTTGAAAAAAAAAAATAATCACATTTTCATTTTAAGATGTACTGCAATCATAAAAGATTCTAATACACACTTTCACAGAAAAATCTTAACAGCATGCTATAAAGCTAGCCACTAGTTTCTTAGTCAAAAAATCTGGTGTACTGGACAGTGAGACTGCACTCTCTCCAGTTACAGAAAGTTACTGTCATCACCTTAAAACTCAAGTCTGCAAAATGCTCCTACACCAATTTCCTTTTATAAGCTTACAAAGAAGTGACCTTTCATTTCAGTTCCTCAGCTGTAAAGACTGATCCACAGGCATTATTCCTAGTCCACAAACTACATGTCAAAAAAGAAGAGGAGCTACATGCCAAATAAGAAGTTAATACTGGAATTAGTAGAGCTGCTTCACAAGTATTTTGTGCTGCAAGTTCCCTGAAGAAGTAACGATGCTTCCAAACTGGCTGACTTGGGCTAACTCTCGTAATTAATCCTAGGCTAGGCAGATAGGTACGACGTGATGCCATCCACAGCTTTGGCTTTTCGTTCAACACATTTTTTGAGGAATATAAGATGCATTCATCCGGCCGTCCCATCTCTCTACAGGTGAGTCTCTAATCAGTTGACAAGAAGGAAGACTGGCTCTACTGAATCGAAGCATAGCGATCTGAAAGTTTAAGTCTTCTGCTTGCTAAAGCAATTGTATAGAATTAAAATACCATTCCTGCCTTTTTCGAGGGCAAGGTATAGCCTTTAGAATCAGAGCCTCTACTAGACTTCCATTATCTAGAAGCTTGAAAGGCATTACTTCCCAACTGATCAAGTGGGTTCTTCAGCAGAAACTGACCCCTTCACCAGATACGTGGGCAGCATCCACACTGTCATGTTCACCAACTATGAATCGTGCTGTAGTATGTGATACTGGTTCCAAGACAGTATCTGTGGATAGTCGACTGCATTGGGTCTCAGGACAAAAAAAAATTCGTAAGTAGTCTTGGACAAAAACCCCGGGGCAGCCTTGGCAGTAGCTACAGTTTCAAAACCTTCCAAGGGGTGAGATGTTTGACTAAATGGGCCTGTGCTCCCCTCTGGCTTTGTCCAAAAGAAAAAAAAAAAAAAGGAAGCCTGCACTTCTCTGCCACAGCAGAGAATTAGCATAGGGCTAGAATATTCTGTTGTCAACCAGGATCTGAAAGATATAAAAAAAAAAATCTAAATACTAACAGTGGGATCTATCTCACGCAGCTTTAAATGTCTGCAGTGTAGACATCTAAGCTAGTCAGCCAGATTTCCTTAACAGTCAGCAGAAGAAATAGACACTTTAAGGCACGATTTGTCTCATCTTAAAATAGACACAAAACCACGTCAGATGAGTCTGTAACGAGACTCACGAGACCTACATCTGACCTAGTCAGCTAAAGCCAGGTGAAACGAAGCCCCACCCTATGACTTCAGGTACTCTGTCCACCCACTGTCGGTACGGGACTACATCAGCCCTTGTCCCACGAACCCTTGTAAGCGAGCTCAAGCGTACTGACACAACCATCTCTCAATTCACCCACCTTTAGGTCTGCTGTCATGATTGATCTTATCATCCAGCATGTGTCTCAACATCTAACTGCAAACACTCACCTTCTCATTGCAAATCAATCAGCACAAATTACATATTTTGTTTCTAATGAGATGAAAGATGATTCATTTTGGTTATTTGGAACTCACAGCTAACAGCAAGGAAAAGCAGGACTTTATTTAGACCTGCTCTTGATAAGCCAGTAATCCAAGCCTGGGTAGACCTAGGGCTCCTATTACCTTAGGCACGTTGCTGTTATCACTAGATGGCTTCCCATTATCTTAGACACGTGGCTGCTATTGCCAGATACTTCGTGTATGTTCAGTCATTCCGACAGAGCGTGGAGGCCTGCTCCTTATATTGATAAATTTGAAATGAGATCCCAGCCATTAAGAGATTTAAATCTATCCATCTGTTCACAGGGTGAATGACGATACAGGTTAAAGAAAATGCATTTGTCAGACAAATGTATGTATTTGTAGCGTCTCCTCAGATACAGCACACAATAAACATCCCTTTACTTTCAGAATGAAGTACGCCTGAGAGGTGGCAGGTTTTCATTCTACGTGAAAGGCTGTTAGGAAAATACTTTCTGAAGAAGGGCGGACAGGAAAACCAGAAGGAACTGCATGGTTGCTGCAAACAACAATACTCAGCACATGTTTGCCTGTGATAATGTTGTCACACAGAACAAAATGGGAAAATGACTTCCAGAAGGACACCAAGAGTTTCCCCAGTAAGGAGTCCAATTGTCTAGTATGCTTACGTGTTGAAGTCATAATGGATGTGATCAAACTGAAAAACACCCAGACTCATAAATAGCTTTTACATCAGGACTCTGCAGCCTACTATAACTGTCTTTTACGGTACTTTAACCAACCCTCCCCCCCAACCCCCCAAAATCACACCGAAGGCCTTAGGTTAACATAAAACGATGCAACTCTTCCCACGTAGCAACCACAACTCCACACTTCTCTTAAGGCTCTAGAAGAAGCAGCACCATGGGCTGCCACTGCTGCAGCTATCAGTCGTCTTTCTGTTGGTTCTGGTGTCGGACTCTGCTCTTCCGCAAGAGTTTGGCAAAAGCACCACCTTCCCCAGATCTGAATTTATGTGGTTATTCAAAACCAAAAGGTCACAATTCTTTCCTGAAGAAGATAACTTGCTGGAGTGTGTCTTTTATTTTCCAGACTATTCTTGGCTGGAATTTCTTGGACAACTGAGTGTTTTCAGCTTAAGGAAGGCATGCTTGAATAAAAGTATCTCATATCAGGATTTTAAGAAATTCCTCCAAAAAAAAAATAATTAAGAAATAGGATTTGGCAACGAGTAATTCCCTGGACTAGAAAAAGAGTTCTTAGCAGACAACGAAGTATAATACACTTGAGCCCGCAAGTTTAGCTTTATTTGGGATTCTGGCATCAACAGTGGTGTCGTGTTCAATAGAAAGACTTCTCCCACATTCATGGGAAAAGCAGCTCTAATGGTTGGAAGGGCATCTCTAAAAATGAGGCATCCAGCCTGCCTGCAAGGTCAATAGCTATCCTCGTCCCAGTGCAGCAAGGTCACAGCTCTCAGGATTCCTCAGTCTCTTGAAAACAAAACATACATACTTTAAGGGCAAAAATTTTGCTTGATCTTGGAGAAATAAGAGGTATGAGCTGCTAATGATGGCACAGCATTTTTTTCCCTCAAGTTAGCAGTAATGCAAAGCTCTTATTTGTGCCAAGGATTCTTCCAACACACGTGTGTCATTCCTTCAGGGCAGGAACTGACATCAGGAGAAATATTTCCAGTACTGAGTATCATAAGGTTGAAATCCTGTGCCCCAAAGTATGTTCTATTTTTTAACTCATGCACACAAAACAAGGTTTGAAGGGCTTATCCTTTGACAGCATCTTGCCAAAGGGCACGGACTTCACCTTCAAATCACCTTGCGCTTTTTCAATTCACCTTTGGCAGCTGAGATCGACAGGTTTACTGTTATATGGATAGGACCAATGGTCCACACCATTTCCTTGTTCTTACGTATTTCTCTGCCAACATACAGAAGACAACACATCACTTGCGCTGTGCGTATCATACTGGAGAGTTTGAACAACTACGATGAGAATCCCGGAACAATCAATCAGTATAGTTTTCTTTGAAGGACTGAAATTGAGTCTTGCAAGGTTGGACTTCAAAGTTGAAGAATTAAAGACAATTTGAGCATATGTTCTATACATTGGTTCATCCAAGTCAACAGATGTGTTGGTTCAAAGGAAAATGTTTGTTTTAAGACCGACAAACTACAGGTTTGAAGATTTGCTAATCTGCCACTGTGAATTCCTTGAAGAGAGGCATGCTCTTTAGGATAACTGTGACAACAGGTTACAATCGAGATGGAAATTGCCGAGTCTGAAATAGTGACTTTAGGACATTAAAGAACACCCTGAAGAATTTTAAATACCAGACATTACTGATTATATCAACTAGAGTGCTGGACATTTGAGTTTTATCCATCTGCAACAGAAATAAGGAAACAAAAGAGACTTGGATTAACCCTGTCTTCGGTGCTCCCTTACAGAGCACAATGGGACTTCCTACTCCATGAAGAAAAAAAGCTCATTTTTAGGGCAAAGAGCCCATGAGATACTTGAACACATTCAACACATATTTCTCCATCTTTGGTGATTTAACTCCTAAAATCATTTGAATTATAAACCCTGCATGTGTGGCCACTTCAAAACCAGACCTTTTCTCTTCTTGCAAGTTGACGCTCTGTCAGGGTTTTGAGACTGGGCACCCCGTCCACTGTACTGCACTCAAAGCTATGCCACAGTGGCTAACCTATACAGGAAAGGAATCCTGGTTATGAGCAGACCTCCCTACCAGATGCCTCGTTGTGCAATTCCAACACTCTTCTAAATTACGCTTACCTCACTCATCTAAAATAAGTCAGCAAATCCTCAGGAGCAGACAGCGATTGAGTCATTCAAAAGCAACAGCCCCAGACTGCTCACTGCAGTAATCCTTCAATGAGGGCTCGAGACACTTTCCTTGCAAAACAACATCTTCTGATGAAATCCGACAAATTTATTTTCAGGCATATTAAAACTTGTTTTTATCTAGCGCAGTACTCAACAGACAGGTTCCAATGCTGGCAACAAGAGCCCAAGGGAAAAAACAAATGTCTGACAGTGAGATGACTGCTGATATCCCTGGGTTCAAATGGAGATCAACTGTTTCACTTTCTACACTGCAGGAATCTGGTAATATCATCAACTTGACATCAATACCTCGTATCTCTTGTCCAAAACAGAGAGAATATATAACCCTATTATTTTTATTAAAAAAAAAAGTCACTATGGTATGTCAAATCATAAATATGCTAAAGGTGTAACTGAAATCTGACGCAGTCTCAAAACGTGTTTAAATTACCAAGTGGTAAATGTAAACTTAATTTAGTGTAAAAATTCTCATCATGCATCTAGGAAAAGCCATTTATTTCTAGGTCAACATTTACCTCTTTTTGGAGCTGCGTTCTCGGCTTCTCTCCCTGGAACTATGCCTGCTTCTATGATGGCTGCGACTCCGGCTGCGGCTGTTAGAGCGAGACCTGTGACGATGGCGTTTCTCACGGGATTTGGAGCGAGTTCTTCTCTTTCGTTCCCGGGAGGCTGAGCGAGACCGATGCCTGCGGCGATCTCGGGACCTAGATCTAGGAACAGAAAGGACTCAAACCAGACACCGCATTCACCAGCTACTTCTATCAGTGTACTGTGAATATTATGCACTCTGCGCATAAGCAAATCTGTATACAGAATGGTCTGCAGTGTTGAGAGCTACTGCATTGTCCTATCACAGGCAAACAGAGAGGGGGAAGCAACATTAGAAATCCTGCAAACTCCTTTGTGACTAATGCAGACAATTTTACAGTTAATTCATGACTGTATGTATGGTTACAGCATAGCCAATTCAGGCTTCTTAAAGTAATCAAAAATACGGGGAAAAAAAAAATCTACAGTTTTATTTTTAAAATCTCGTCTTTATCAGGCAAAGTTGTAGAACATCATGATGCAGTGACAGGGATCATCTGCCAGAACCTATGTATTATGATGTTCTGAGAAAACAGGACTACATCCCTCCCCATAGCTACGACAATAAAACTAGTCTGGAAGGTTCTAAACACCATACAAATTCATGATTTTGTTTTATTAAAATCACTTTGCAGTAATACCTCACTGGTGACCTTCAAACTGTGTAGGCTGGGAAGGAAACTTGTACTATTGATCTGTTGAGAGTTAACCTGGTGCTTAGGATTTTCAAAACATGAGTTTTCACCGAAAGGTATTAACCGTAAGCTTTTGTTTTGAAGAAAGAGCAATTCTCTGTGTTCTAAACATTATTTAGGACAAAAGTTGCATTGTAGTAGCCACAAAATAGACATACATGTATAAACTCAGTAGCATGGTGCTAAATACTGTATAAACACACAGAGAGATGACTTAGTTTAAGATGTCCATCTTTACAGACAAATAGTGCTAGACAAACTCATCATATTCCAGCTTGTGAAAGGCTGGCTTCACTGATCGTATTCCTCGTCTGCAGATTTATATACCTTTTGGTATGCTTGCTGTGGGATCTGGACCTGAAACAAATGGAGAATAGTAAATCAAATTTTTCTTACAGAATCTTAGTATCAAATAAAGTACAAATTAGTAGTAATAAACCAGACTAGTTGACCTGTTATTCTATTTCTTATTTTACTAGCAATTGTTTAAAAGCCTTTTATTTGACGTTAACAACTTTGTAGCATATTTACCAGGAAACACATCCCTGTGACAACTGTTGGTTTTTTATTTTTGAGCCCACCATAGTACAACCCCGAAAGAATACCTAATCTGCTTTTTTTATCCCCACCCCTCCCACAGAATTTGAGCTTACAGTTCAAGTCAGTACTCCCTTCTTTCTTGTCAGGCGTGTATTACCAGACTGCAACACTGTTAACCTCTGAAGCTAACACGCCCAGAGAACTGCAGTTCAGACTCCATTCCACTCCAGCCCCACAAGGCCTGGAAGCAACTATTTCATAGAGGAACAGGGAATTACTTTCCTCAGTCGTACACTGAACTACTTCCACTATAGAAAATTTCTAACATCTATAAAGAAAATATCTAACAGATGTTAGAAACTCACATGTGTGTAAGCTCACATCTGCCAGGTCTCAAAACAAGGCATACACCTGAAAATTATCTCATTTAAAGGCCATTTGTTCAAATATGTAGAGACACTTCTATCTGTAGTTTTTAAAAAGGTTTTCTATGAAAACAATTCAGGTTTTAGAGTTACGACATAAAATTCACTCTCAATCCTTCTAAGTTTCCAAGGAATGCAAACTATTGTGATTCTGCAGATTTAGAAATGTGTATGAACTACGTCATAGGTTTCTCATTAAATTTAAATAGGTCATTATGTATATGCAATTAAAATAGATCCTTACCTCCTTAGTTTCTCCCTTTCTTCTCTTTTCCTCTCCTCTCTACGTTTCAGACGTTCCTGATTTCGTTTCTCCTGTTTATCAGCCACAATCCTCTAGAAGCAAAGGAACATATTCATTAAGCTACATTTCAAAATTTTTCAGATGAAGGTGCTAAAAAATAATCTAGACAGTTAATGTTCAGTTCTTTCCCTCATGTATATTCCCTTTCCCTTGTGTGTATTATTCCCTCTCTCTTCCTCAGTATATATATTTATTTTTATTTCTCCAAGAAACAGAAGTTATTGCAGAAGAGCTGCAGCAAATAGATGGGTGTTACGCAAAGACCTGAAATACGTAGAGTTATATTAAGTTTTCCATGAAGGGGAATTCAGAGCAGTAAGTCATGCTTTTAATGTGAGGGTTTCCATGCCAATCCTATCATATTTTGGCCACTGGGGAAAGGTAGAAAGGAATCAGAACTGGGAAGAGTTAATTGTTTTATTAACTCCTTCAGCTACGCTGTGACATAAAGAAATCCTTAAAGGACTTGGTTGGGCTAATACCTAGTTTTGAGGCTACTTGTTTCAGTATTGTGAACATGAGATATAATTAGAGAGGATGCTTCAGCTGATAGCCCCCAGGTTGAACTCACTACTACTGGGGACAAGGCACGCTCAGTAGAGGGCCCTCAGATGTGGAACTCACAACTGGAGATCTGGCCAAACCCAAGTCTCGCCACCTTCTGGACATGATGCAAGAAATTCAACTCTTTGTAAAGACCTTCTTCTGAGATGTGGAATTGCCCCAGCAGCATCTTGATTAGATCTCTGAGGAGAGCTCTGAGGAAGGAGGGGATAGTTATTGTTTTCTTTTTTTGTTAGCGAAGTACTTAAAAAGATTATTTTATTGATGCTTTGGGAATGTGAAATAATTATCCATGCATTTTTTTCCCCCGAATGGTGTAAATAATCAGTTATTTCAATCCTTTATGTCAAATTATATCTATACTTCCTTGTACAATATCAGTAACTAAATTACAAGCAAGGTTTCTTCTTCAAGTGACTCCTTGCATAATTTCATGGAGGGATGAGAGGAAGCACACATAATCTGTCCTAGGCATCTAAGGAGGCTCCTACATTTAGGAGTCTAAATTGCCAATACAGTCAACAGAAACAGTTGGACTTTCCAAAGGGTAAGTCATAGTATCCATGCAAGACAGCTGGAATATTATGAAAAATAAACCAAGCCAATTTACTCAAACTCAGTAGCACCATTTTCTGCTTTTAGGGCTTCAACTCATTTAGCTATTGTCTTTAGTGATTTCTACAGTTAAATGCTTAACTGAGCCTTGAACTCCATAATTTGCATATTAAGATCATAAATGGCGTCAGTGTCCAAATCCATCCTCCTGAATACCAGAAGTCTAGAATATAATTCCAGTAACTTTTTGTTCCAGTACACAATTTCTGGTCAAGATAGTGTTGTTTAGAATAATATTCCAACTGAATTTCAAATCTTCAAGCTATAGAGAACATGCAAGCTCCCCGTAACAGCTATTTTAATAGCTAGCCTGACTTCAAGACATACATCTTTTTGCATTCTGACTTTGGATAGCTACAGCCTTGAGTCGTTGGAACTTATTTATTTCATCTATTATCAGTTAAGCTTAAAAGCCTTCAAAAATTACTTAAGGAAAGAGAAATTTTCTTTAGATGTTGGTACCTATAGAACGAAAGTCACCTTCTAATCCTTGTTTAGATAAAACAAACAAATTGAGTTTTAGTCTTTCACTATACAGCAGGCTATTTGAGCTCCAAGCATTTCTGTAGGTCTTTTTTGAAAACTTTGCCATGTGTTATCATCCTCCTTACGTATTCATACCAAAACCGAGGATTTCAACACCAGCCCTAATAACATTTTATCCTAATTAAATAAACAAAGTATCACTCACTCAGGCGCACTACCTGTTTTTGTATTTTCAAGAGCCTCATTATTACTTTTAGCCAATCAACTGTCTACAAGTAAAGTTCATTTGGCTGTTGCCTATGATTGCTAAATATTTTAGCCAATCAACTGTCTACAAGTAAAGTGCATTTGGCTGTTGCCTATGACTGCTAAATACGTTTCAACATCACTGGGTGTCCAAAATACAGTTCTCCACTTTACAAGTAGAACTGCACTCTTTGTTCCCAAGATGCATTACTTTGAACATGTGTTTTCATATACCTCAGTGCAAAAGAGGTCATCTTATCAAATTACCCAGATAACCGATATGAAATTAGAATGTCTGGTGTTCTGTAGAGCAATGAAATCCCAAATTTTAAAGTAACTATGAAAAAATTCACACTCCCAGAAAGACATATTCCATTAAGGTTCCCTGGCAAATAATTAAGCAGGAGCACACATGTATATACACACACAAAAACGTAAGAATGATTTACCCTGAGTTCCTCAAGCTTCTCTCTTATTTCAATAAATCCTAAATGTAGTTTTCCTCCAAAGTGGTCAGCAAGTCGTCGGTCATTGTCATGAAGACCAAGATAAGCCGAGCACACTTCACAGACCCGTAGTTTCTGCTGCTGAAAGCTGGAGGCAGGCATAGAATTCCTGTATACTTCCTAGAAAAAAAAATTTGCTAACTGTTACTTCTCAATGCACAGAAATACAAAAGATAACACTTTACCAAAGATACACTACAAATTGATAACCAAATTCAATGTACACCAGCACACCGTTTAGTTAATTCATAAGGCAACTGTCTCATTAAGATACAAGGCAGGTTCCTTATTTTGAAGACTGGACATACTTAAAAGCAGGACATCAGCAACTGGTTTTGCAAATTAAACAAAATGGGGCGATTACTACCCTGGGGAAGTGGAAGTGAGTATAATTTTAACAGTATAGGAGCGTATTTAAAGGTAGAAACTTTAACTCTACGGCATGCTGCAAAGCAAATTCTTTAGTTTTACATGAAGCAATCAGTTAAGGAAGTGACAGCAGGTAAGACATCCTGCATTACACAGACGTCAACCAATTTACTATTGGATCCTGCCCTCTCCATCCCCCAGGCCTTACACAATCAACTTACCTCTGCTTCTCTCTTCTTTACCCGAGCCTTCTCCACTTCATCCATTACTTTTTGAGATTCTTCCACATTCCCATCAGCTCCAAGCTGTTCTACTTTGGCTAGCAGTTTCCCAATTTCTTCATTCAATTCATGAACTCTTTCAGCCTTGAAAGACAAGGAAAGGTTTAACACAGGAAATGCTGTTAATTATAGAAAACAATCTGAACTACTACCGAGTTATTACATGCAAAATCGGTAGGACAGAATTGAAAGAAACATGCAGAGAGAACTTCTTCAGGTAAAAGTGAAACAGAAACTGCCTCATGTAAAAATACGCAGAGAAAGGCCGAGTTACCAAGTCTATGAGTCTATGTACCGACTCCAGAGCAGGATTTTGTTCAGAAACTTCCAGTTATTCACATTCTGTTGTCTATATCACATAGTCTCGCAAAATTAGTATTTGTACAACCACTCCTCCTAGCACGTGCATATGTGCAGAAAAATGATAAAAAGTTTTTTTCAGTTAGAAGATCTAGAGAAAAGCATGTAAAATTTTGTTTACTTTATGGATGAAGTTTTGATCAAAAAGTCTAAGAATTACTAACATTTGTATTGCATGGTATCACAGAGAGTCAAGTTTCCTGAGCTCAAAAATAGAGATCTCTTCCCTATGTTCTCCTCTCTGTGCTTTAAAGGTAGTTTGGGGAAGGACAGAGAAAACATCTTATTTTTTTCCCCCTCCTCAGTATGAATTCTCAGATGTGATAGCTTGCCAAAGCCTTAAGTTGGCTCCCCAGAAAAACAGACCTTCAAAGAGACTTCAGTAACTAGTTTTATACGCTTACCTTAGCTGCAACTTCAGCACTGATCTCTTCCTGGGTTTCTGCTAGTCTTTTCTTAGCCACCTCTGTTCTCCTGTCACAGTCTGCAATAAATGACTGCAGGTGGTCCATTGCCTAAAACATCAATAAGAACACTGATCAACGCTGTCAAGAACATGAATATTTCATCAGCCTTAACGCTACCCAGGTTTATGAAGATTTAACTTTTCTAAGTTTTTATTAGTGAAACCTTTGTAAGCAATAATCTAGCAGTTTATGGTGACTAATCACATATATTAATACACAACATTTTAAGAACTATGACAACATGTAGACTATGGTTTTAAGTATTTGCAGAAATTTGGAAGTGAATCTGTCTCAAGTCTTCTCTAAGAACAAGTGAGCATTTCTAACGCATTAAAATTCTTCAAAGGATATTCAGGTTCACCTCACCCAGCCAATACATGCAATACTGTAACTTTTTTCACTACGTTTTTAAGCTATTAAGCATATTAACACCATCCCTCCAAACAACAACAAGAAAACCCCCAAACCTTTTTGTCCTAGTGAAGACTAACTTCCTAGTTGGGAGTTCAAAACTGCATTACTCAAACTATGGTGTACTGAGATATAGCATATGATTTCTTATCCCCAATACAAAATGACTTTCTTAAATAAGCACAGAATTTAAGACTCTCTTCAAAGAACACACCGCCTTAACATTTGCTTGCTGTTTGATAACACTAAGACAACATCCAGGTTTATCATAATTTGTTCTGTGGAAGGCTGTTAACAGTTCTACCTAGAGATGCTAGAGATGACTACCAATACAAATTAAATACTTGCATATAATCATGAAGAGGCATGTATCTTTTATGTAACTGTGCCAAGGGTTTCTCTGCCTCTTTCTATAAAATTACTTTCCAAAAGCTTTCCTTCTGTGTCTACCAAAACTTAACTTTGGTCGCACAGTTTATCGACCTAGGTACACAAATTATGCTTCGTCTCCACCATTAAGACAAAATACATACATCAAGCTCAAAGAAGAAATCTTGATCTTTGGATGCTATTTCATAGTCTGCCCTTAATGCCAGGTCATGCACCTTCAGACATTCTCCAAGGTCCATTCTCTGAAAAGAGACAGAGGGAAAGTGGTACCACTTGAATGAAGTTAGCATGATTTTGTTTAACAGTCAAATATTCTGAAGCAAATAATTTCCCCTGTGGGAATGAAAGGACAGTTTAATAAAGCTATAAGACAATACCAGATCTTTAATAAACATGCACGAATTGGGAAATAATAAAAGCAGAGAGAATGAACAGTTTATCTTATCACGATGGCTGTCTGCATTGCAAAGTATCATTAATGTCCTGCAAAAACGTTTTTTTTTAGTAAAAGTTCAAAAAAGTGACTGAAGTGGGACATCCTGTATTGAATTAAAACAGCCCAGGAGAGCCACATTCCCTGCAAATAACTGGCAATTAAATGGTCAAATGCTTGATTTGAACTGTCTGCACGCTCTGTGATCTGTGTTCCAGTTATATACACCACCTGAAATAGCTACAGCCACAGCACCACTGTAAGTGCTGCTTAAAAACCGTTCTTGAAGCATTTCAAGTGAGATAGCCAAAATACAAATCCCAGCAAAACAATTTGCAGATGAGTGAAGAAGAACCAAGTGTTGGACTACATTCAAGAACCAGGGAAGAAAAAGTACAGATACTTTACTTGTAATCTAAAACCATTCCAGAAAGGGCAGGAAGGAAGAATAAACTTAAAATCTAAGTAGGCTGCATCACTAACCCTGCATACACCACCACTGAGTGCCCAGAATCTTCTTAGGTAACAAATACTGGTTTTAAATTGAAATTTGCATACCACACAGCATAAGGAATTCTAATTCAATCTGTTCTCTGAAAATGTGTTTGGTGATCAAGACAAAATGACATGCACATGATCAAAACAAATAAACAAAACCCCCACAAACAACAACAAAAAAACCCAAAACAAAGCAACCCCCAAACTCAATTTGTAATGGAAACAAAACTGAACAAAACCAAGGCACTCTCTCTGCAAAAGCACAGGCTGATGTATAATCATTGAAAGTGATTATTATTTGCGTCACTTACAGTTTCGGTTAAGCCTGCTCTTGGCACTGCTCACTTAATATTAAGAAAAATTAATCCTTTCTCAACACTGAAAGCATATAACGAAAGTCGAACTCTGACAGAAAAAGCTGTTACTGTTGTAGTTGAATAACAGTTTTAGAACCAAATCTAAAATAATTAATAACTTGTGCTGTGAGTTTTGTAAATAAAAGATGAGTGTTAACTCAGACAGAAACTGCTGCAAGTCTGATCTGAGCCAAATGAGTGCTTTTTTTAACTAAAAAAATACTTGCATTTAAGTAGCAATTCAAGACTCACAAGTACAGTAAAAAACCACCAAACATCACTGCTTTCAACATCTCAAATAATCAGTTAGACATTCCAACAAACTCATGAAAGTAATTTTTATGGAAGTTGTTGGTTTATTTCAAATGCTGGGGACAGAAAGAACACGTTAAAACACAGCATTTTGAACTTGAAAGTTTCTGATAAACTGTAGTTATTTAAATACCCTTCAGCCACCATAAATCTGTTTTTCGGAAAACATTTAATTGCAATGCAGAAGAAAAAGATTAGCTTTCCTTTTGCAACTACACAGGACCTGGGCAGTTTTGTTAACTGATACAAATCCACAGAGACCTTGAAGCAATGTATTACACAGATCTATTTCCAAGTCATGAGATGCTGACATCATTTAAACTGCAGCGCTCTTTCAGGAAAGTATTTCAGTTCTAAGAAAGCAGTATGAAAGAAATTTTAGAATTAACTGAAAATTAGACACTTAAAAATCCTCCTAAAATTGTGAAAACTTTGGCTTTACGCTGATTGATCACTTGTACTGACAAACTTAAAAATCCTCCTAAAATTGTGAAAACCTTGGCTTTACGCTGATTGATCACTTGTATTTAGGGTTAAACTCTTAAAACTCGAGGCCAATCCTGTTTAAGTGAAGTACTCCAGTTGTAAATGCACAGACAAGGCCAGCAACACACTTTAATCGATCTGAACACAATGACAAAAAGCCTGAAACACATCCACCATAGCATCAGAAAAACGTTATGGGAATATGCATTCTACATACACTTTGAATAAATGCATGAAATAAACTTCCATCACACTCTAAAAAAACCAGCACCCCCATGACACTACCATGACACACCGTTCACTTTACACGTGTTTTATGCTGCTGCTCTCTCTATTCGGGTTGGATTTGCCCTCCTCAAGACAGTACATTTTCTGATTTCTTTTCTTCTTACTGGGAATTGTAAATGCCTAGCCCGAAAGGATGGCAATTACTCTGAGCCAGCATTACTACTGAAAAAATCTTCTGTCCTCCCTTTATCACTGCGCTGTGCCACCCCATGCTGGCACATCTGCCTGTGCAGTTGAACACAATCTGGGTACTGACTGGGTAAAACGTATCTTAGCAAAACAAAACCAGAGGCAATTTTTTAGCAGTGTACCTTTGCCCAATTTGTCAGGCAGCCACACAAATGGATGAGCTGACAATACGTAGGGGGCAATGTAATGGTGGACATAAGCAGCTAGGATCTCTCGCAGTATTGAGATGCCATGTCAGAAACTCTTGAATAACTTCACTAATATTAGTGGCAATTTTGGGGGATGAGGGGGGCGTTACGGAGGATTTCTTTTTGTTAGATGTCTCAATCAGAAGACAGGAAATTTTGGCTCCCCTTCCCCTCTTTGATCCAGAGTGAAGCCTTATAAATACTCACGTGGCATAACAGACAGGGAGCAAGAACAAGCAGGTACAAGAGAAAAGATTCTTTTCCATTGGCTTTGCTGCTAAAGAAATTACATCATTGTTGAAACTGCTCCATAACACAGCCTGTACTGGCCTTGGCTAATCCTTTGAAAGCACCTTTGCAGAAATATTACTACTAAATGTCCGTCTTAAAAGTTCTATGAGCAAACCCCAATGCAGAGAGACATATAAAAAAACCCCAAACTCAAACCTCTTAAACCAGTTTGCCTATTATATGCAAAATCGGGCTAAAAAGGACTTCTGCTGGTATAAGTTATGCAGCATCGGGCAAAGAATTCATCTTGGGGATGATTCATTACTGTCAGAAGTCTATGCTGGATCAGGACTGCAGAGGACCTCAATAAGTACAGAGCAGCTCCTATTGTAGTTTGGCTCACCTGGTTAACTGAATATGAATTAATATGAATTAATATGAATTAATATGAATCACAGACCGGCTGG